GGTAAGATTATCGAAAACTAAATATTTTACGAGATATTTTAATTTTTATATCAAAATATGTCAGATTAAAATATAAAATAACTCAAAAAGTACTTAATGAAAAAATATTTTATTATAGTGTTTTAAAAAGCTCTCGAAATAAGATACAAGAATATATAATAAAAAGTAGGCAGTTCCATTTAAAAAATTGAAGGTGACTTTCACGTGACCTTCAAGCAACTATTCATGGTCAAATTAATGACATCACCTTATGTCCCCCTCAAAACCATACAACTTTTGTCTGAAACATTTTTTTCTAAAATGCATTGTTTAGGAGATATTTGACCGTTTTCAGACTTTTCTAACACCCTGTATATATATACAGGGTGTTCCAGGAGGAAAGGTCAATATTCTGGGAGATGATAGTATCGGTCATTTTAAGCAAGAATGTTCATATGAATATATGTCCTATTCACCACGGTTTCCGAGATAGAGCGACTTGAATGTACGTCTCGTGTATTCACTTTTCTTCTGTACACTTCAACCTTCATCCAACCCCATTGAAGGTTGAAGTGTATAGAAGAAAAGTGAATACACGAGACGAACTGCTCGCTCAAATAATGGATGCTAGTGCCCGCATAAAGGAACGTCACGATGTACTCAGACGAGCAACATGCCATGTTCACACAAAAGTTGAAAAATGCATTAATGTTAACGGTGGAATTATTTATTATAAAAAAAAATGTATCACTTGAACAATAAATATTAGAAATAGTACGTAATATTTCTTTCTTGTCAGTAATTTTGCAACTGTACAACTGTACAGCTCTATCTCGGAAACCGTGGGTAATAGGACATATATTCATATGAACATTTTTACTTAAAATGACCGATACGATCACCTCCCAGAATATTGACCTTTCCTCCTGGAACACCCTGTATAGATCAAATTTAATGATTTTATTATTTCTGAATTTATGTAAGTATTACAGGAACATATTCTTTGTGTTTGCACAGGTTTACATTTTTTTTATTATATAATTTTTTTGCTTAAGACTGTCAGTTTGTTAACAAGTCAACTTTGTTAACAAAATTGCATTTTTTTAAAGATTGTTTTTTCGAAACAGTAGTTAGTGATCGTTTATGGTCAGACACAATAATTCTGTAATGTCTAATATTTTCAAAGTGCCTAGTGTCGAATTTTAATTATACTTAACAATTAGCTTATTCATATTTTGTGTTGAATTATGATCAAATGTTACGATTAGAGTCAACTTTGTTCAAGTTTGAGATGCATCGATACGAATGTTTTTACAACTTCTTTTCGTGATTTCACGAGAAAAAAACACAAGACCAATTCTGCTACATATATTTTTTATTATGTGATAAAAAAGTTTATCGCATATAATTCTTACTTCGCATTTAAATTTTCGATTGACGAGTTTTAAAAAGAAGTTTCAAAATAGATCAGTAAAGTTGAAAATATATAAACAAAGAAAAACATTTTTCGGTATGAAGTCGATTTTTTTTTAACTTTAGAGACACATGCTTGCGCATTTTAATTGACAATGAGTTTGATATACGGCTACAACTCTCCGAAACGCATCGCAGATCTTGAGAGTGATATCCGGCATGTGGTTCCGCGAATTTCGCGAAACGCAACGTACACGCGCCGATCGTAAATTTCGCAGTTCCTGTTTCCCTAATCAGTGGAGTCTCTCGCTCACGTTGGTATATATTACGATGAAGGAGAGGAAGCTAATGCGGATTAAGCGGCAGAGTCTCTCCGGTCCTCATACATGACGATCATAAATTTCACGCCAACAGTTTCCCTAATCAAAGGGACAAAATATAGATCACGACAGGAACAGGTAGCATAAGAGAGAACGAAATTACAGATACGTATACTCGATGCCTTCTTATCGGTGCAAGGCGAAGCGGCAGACTTAGAAGAACTTTCATTCGCCGGCGATTCTTCGTGCACGCGCTCACAAAGTCGTACGTCATGTCGAGCCGTTTAATGGCCTTTTAATACTACCTTACGAGCGGCGCGCTTCCCCACCCGCGCAACTCTTTCACTGCTGGCCGCTGCCTTTGAATAAAACGGAGATCAACGGAGACGATCCTCCCCTCTCGTTCAGATGCCATTGCGTCTCTCCATTGGATTTACTGTCCCTCTCGGATATATATATATATATATATACACATATTTCGCGAATCGGTCTTAGAAATGACATAACAATACTCACCCATTATACATAATAATATGCTGATAATAAATAACTCTATCAACAAAACGAAACTGATCATATTGGCCAGTTTCCTGGTCAGCATTATCAGGTAACAGTGTCTTTGAATTAGTGCATTGAAACGATCGCAGATTCGCGGACTTGTAACATTAAAATCGATGAAATGAGCTCTCAGAATTTTTACTTGACCACAAATATGCAACACGATATTGAGAAACAACGCGTCGTTACCTTTATATAAACAAAATTCATTAAGAACAATATATTGGGACTCCTTATTCTAATTAAAAAATACGTATCCGGATACAGCAATTAATCTTCTTTTTTAGTAAGAAGATACCTCGCGTTAATAAAAGAAATAAAAATTTTTTTCTACAAATGTAATAATATGATTCTAAGTATTTTTCTATAATATTTGATTGATATTAGCTAAGGTAAAAATTACACAGAATTGTCAAACAACAAATAGATATTATTACCGATATGAGCATTCGTCGACAGTATCATCGCAACAACTTGGATGAGGCACAAAATTTTATACATGCTTGCTGGAGCATTAAGGTATTTCATAGTGCATGCTGATGGTATTGCATACTCCAATATTGCGTCATCGTTCGTTACGTTCATCTGGTTTCTTTTATCATATCTGAGAAGAGGTATCAGTCCGTACATTATACAACTAAAGTAGGAGAAGCATAGCATGGGGCAAGAGACGATCCTTCCTATAAGGGCATGTTTTCGCATAATCGCACGCTCTTCTACGTTTTCAATTGTCAAATAATCCTTTATGGCGGAGCTGTAATTAACAGTTAAGCTGTTTGCATAAATGCGGAACCATATCATTTTTAGCACGCCAAGTGTTCCGCAACAGATCAACATGATGCTGTCCACATTCTGCTCCGCGTCGGTACAACCCATGCATAGTTCAATGGAAGGCAAGATCACCATTACACCCTGTTGATATGTTTCTTCGTATATATCGTTTTGTATTCAGAAAAAAACGTGTTTCGACTTTAAGTAAACAGATTTTATAAATATTTTTGTATTTAAATGTTAATAAATTTCTTTCTCTCTCTAACATCCGTAATGTATAGAAAGTATCTTAGTTTTTTACATATAGTGTATAAAAAATGCTGCATTTAGTTTCAAACTATGTTATAAATGCTAAGTATGGATGTTGTTCCGAATGGGACACTTCAAGTTAACGGCAGCCCTCATGCGTACTTAAAATAGATACCAAAATAATGTAGTATACAAAATTTCAGCCGCGGCAAATAATTTTTTCAAAAGTTTTTAACCTAAATGTGAAACCTTAACAAAACACAATTACAGCAAAGAAAATCTATTTTTTCAGTTTGTTTATCCAGAAATCTTTTTGTAAGTGCTTGCCAACGCAAAGTATGTGCGTGGACGCAGTGTGAGTTCAGCCCTCCCCCCCTCCCTACAGGGGGATTCCACTTCCGAAAGATATAACCTAATCCAAACCTATTTCTGATTTAAAATTAAAATTTGATTTGGGTTACGTTATATAACCCAAAGTTTATCGTCCTTTCGTATTGTACAAAACAGAAATTTTAATGCTTCATAACTTTTAAACGGATCGTGACCGCCATTTTTTTCAAGATCAGAGTCATTCAGGACGATGACTTTGACAACATATCAAGGTCAAGATCATACATGAAGTCATTCTCTTTCTGTATAATTACCCATCGCTTCACATTCAAAGCACCCGGCGATATGACCTGAACCTCCCTTTGCGCTGAAAGTTGCAAACCCATGTAGAATCATATAATTATAGACCTCGCTTTGCATCCCAAGCAGCCGCTGATATGACATGAATCTCGCTTTGCGCTCGAAGTTGCAAAACCATGTAGAATCATATATAGATCTCGCTTTGCATCCAAAGCACCCGGTGAAATTGAAAAAATAGTTTCTCTTTCCTATAATTAGGTTTAGTTGAGGTTTTACTTTTAGGTAAAAACTTTTGAAAAAATGATTTGCCGCGGCTGAAATTTTGAATACTACATTATTTTGGTATCTACTTTAAGTACGCAAAAGGGCTGCCGTCAACTCGAAATGTCCCATTCGGGACAACAGCCCAAAGTATTAGATGATATATTATAAGTTTGAATGTACAGGGTATTTCACATAAAGCGTTACAAAGTGTTTTATCCGGAACTTGACGTTATACAAAAAAATATTTCAAATAAAATTTATAAAGTTTTGAGAAAGAAAAAAGTTGATAATCTTGAATTTTAATAGCTATAATTTTAGTAACTGATTGTTGTAAATTTTTTCTTAAAAACAACTATATCTGTTTTTTACATCAATTGATTCCTCTTATTATTTTGTGTATAAAAGTAATATTGAGGCAAAATAATCGAGAAATGTAATATTTGACGAGATATTTCATAGTTCATGTAAAATTATATCAAATTAAAGTATAAAATATCTCGTATAAAATATTTTATAAAGTATAAAATATTTTACGAGATATTTTATAGTTTATGTAAAATTATATCAAATTAAAGTATAAAATATCTCGTAAATTATTCACTTTTTAGCCATTCTGCTCTTATAACTTTTATGCCGAATATTGCGAGAAATCGAATAGTATAAAAAAATAATTGTTTTTAAGAAAAAGTATGTAATTATTTACAATATTTACAGTATTATTTTAAACAATTATTTGTTTTTTTTTAAACACTAATTGATTTGTCTCATTATTCGGTACATAAAAGTATTACGGTAAGATTATTGAAAACTAAATATTTTACAAGATATTTTTGGACGCAGTGTGAGTTCAGCCCTCCCCCCCTCCCTACAGGGGGATTCCACTTCCGAAAGATATAACCTAATCCAAACCTATTTCTGATTTAAAATTAAAATTTGATTTGGGTTACGTTATATAACCCAAAGTTTATCGTCCTTTCGTATTGTACAAAACAGAAATTTTAATGCTTCATAACTTTTAAACGGATCGTGACCGCCATTTTTTTCAAGATCAGAGTCATTCAGGACGATGACTTTGACAACATATCAAGGTCAAGATCATACATGAAGTCATTCTCTTTCTGTATAATTACCCATCGCTTCACATTCAAAGCACCCGGCGATATGACCTGAACCTCCCTTTGCGCTGAAAGTTGCAAACCCATGTAGAATCATATAATTATAGACCTCGCTTTGCATCCCAAGCAGCCGCTGATATGACATGAATCTCGCTTTGCGCTCGAAGTTGCAAAACCATGTAGAATCATATATAGATCTCGCTTTGCATCCAAAGCACCCGGTGAAATTGAAAAAATAGTTTCTCTTTCCTATAATTAGGTTTAGTTGAGGTTTTACTTTTAGGTAAAAACTTTTGAAAAAATGATTTGCCGCGGCTGAAATTTTGAATACTACATTATTTTGGTATCTACTTTAAGTACGCAAAAGGGCTGCCGTCAACTCGAAATGTCCCATTCGGGACAACAGCCCAAAGTATTAGATGATATATTATAAGTTTGAATGTACAGGGTATTTCACATAAAGCGTTACAAAGTGTTTTATCCGGAACTTGACGTTATACAAAAAAATATTTCAAATAAAATTTATAAAGTTTTGAGAAAGAAAAAAGTTGATAATCTTGAATTTTAATAGCTATAATTTTAGTAACTGATTGTTGTAAATTTTTTCTTAAAAACAACTATATCTGTTTTTTACATCAATTGATTCCTCTTATTATTTTGTGTATAAAAGTAATATTGAGGCAAAATAATCGAGAAATGTAATATTTGACGAGATATTTCATAGTTCATGTAAAATTATATCAAATTAAAGTATAAAATATCTCGTATAAAATATTTTATAAAGTATAAAATATTTTACGAGATATTTTATAGTTTATGTAAAATTATATCAAATTAAAGTATAAAATATCTCATAAACTGTTAATTTTTTTGCCATCCTACTGTTATAACTATTTACGCCAAATATTGTGAGGAATCGATTTCTATAAAGAACATTAGGGTAGTCTTATTTAAAAAACCAGGTTGAGTTTTACATGATCTTGAAAAATAATTCTACTTAAAATTCAATATCATCAATTTTTTTTTCTTAAAATCTCATAAATTTTGTCTAAAATATTTTTTTGTACGATATCAAGTTTCGAAGAAAATACCTTGTAATACTTTATGCAGAAGACTTTAAACATTCAGTTTATGTTATACTTGGAATAATAGTAACGGGAAGATAAATGTTATTAAAATAACATGTAGTGAAAACTGTTTAAAAATAGCAAATTTAAATTAGCAATATTTAAAACAAGTTTAAATAGCGATATAATATAAAACAAAAATGCAACGAAGTTAAATATCTAACAATAAATAAATATATGACGTTTTATAACACATTATTTATCTAATCTTTTTTCACGCAATTATTATTGTGTAATTATTATTATTATAATGTTAGCCATAAATAATAATAAATTTTTAAAACAAACAGTATAGCATATATACTACCCATAATAATTATGCTATCCATAAATGATTCGTAAAAAAACTACACATATATCATAAAACATAAGAAGAGTCTTTCTTAGACATTTTCCGACATACGATTGTGCCACTCAAGATCTGTTATTACGCTGGGAAAAAAATTCACCATATAAATCGTTAAAAATAATAAATTATTATCACAACACTGAGATTTTGTTTATAACAGTTTTGCTTTGCAACGTAATAGAAATATTTGTTAACATCGTCCTCGAACAATCGTGCATCAATGATTACCGGATCCTAACTCAAAAGATGCGTACCGCACCGCAAGTGCCCAGGGCACTGCGTAATAATGAATAGAAGTTGTAATGTTGCAGCGGCCAAACGCCGATGGGCCACGCAATCAATTTGAATGGGGTCATCGCATACGCGATATCGTTTTTCCATCTTTCACCTGCCATCGGGTCTAGATAATGACTGTAACTGATGTCGATGATCCGTTCACTACATTGACACGATAGTAGGTAAATATTCCGACTCATTTTTTATTCAACTCGAGAAACGTATACTTGCTTATCAACCCGCCTCCGTGCTCTTAACGTGCGCATTATCACAAAGTGCAGACAATATTGCAATAAAACTTTACGCTGAATTGTCATTGAGAATTCGCATGGTTATTTTTTTCGAAATTGTCGATATGAAATAACTACCATTTTATTATACGCGAACTATAAGAGAGAACGTTCACCTACATGTTTCATTCACTATGTTATGCTTCGAATATATATAACGTTTTATTTCGACTTGGCAGTTTTGACGCTATGCCACAATTGTATAATATATATATTATAAATTTATCTGTTTCAATATAATATATAATAAGTAAGTAAAATACATCTTTCTTGTACTTCGTAAATCATCCAGAGAAACAAAAAAAATAGAAATTAGATGTCAAATATATATTTCTGAATCTCAAATATATATTTCTAACAATTATTGAGCCAACATGATTTGCAGCACCGAAAAATAAGAAATTGATGCTTTTAAAACATTTTTGAAACTATTGAAATCTATATAATAGAATTTACCCGCTCTTATGCGAATAGGCACATTGGCACAAGCTATTATAAAACGTAAGTCTTGCACGATGTTCGTAGGTAAATTGTACCAATCGCTCAAGTAAACTGCTTGAGAGATCGCTTGCGTTTTTGACGACAAAGTTTCACCCATATAACTGTACAAAAAAGTTGTATCATTAATACATTGAACGACATTATACTCGTTCCGACAACAGCAAAATCATGCACTGCCAAACGACACGATAAGCTGCAATCCTGAAAAATGCTTGACATTTATTCTTTGTAATAATTGAATGGATTTTATAATATTAGAGTGATTGATTGCAGCGATAAAATAGGCACAATATTTGCGATAAAGAAGAAATATACAATTTGTTTAAAATATTGTATCTATAAACATATAAGCAAAGCGTGAAGAACTAGTTGAGCTATTAAGATAGTATCGAGTGTATCCACGATGCCTTCGGCTAAATCCAGAAGCAAACAATGTCTCTCGACCAATGCGATTATTTTGATTCTGTTCCAATAAGAGTTCTTATTTCCTTCGTGAAATTGCAATAATTCCAGGCTGAGTATATCCATTTGACCGCAGAGATGCATACAAACACCAAAGAGAAAAACATCGCTGCCAACGTTCCTCATGGATGTGAACATCAGCTGAACAGTCTGGAAAATATACATGCTGTAACAAACGATCGATACGTTGGAGGGACAGGTCATTTCATGCGGCAATTGCATTTGTTTCTCGGATCTTGTAATATTCTGTAAAGAAGGCGACGTCGCAAACGATAAAAGCGGTCTGGCTGCCAACGAGACAACGACAATATACGCGGAACCCATCTAAAAGAAGAAGACGAATCTGCCCAGGTTAGTATAGCGAAGCATTACTTGTCGATGATCCTGCCTCGCAATGCATGTCCAATTGTTTGCTGCGTTACATAGATTCTTCAGCAGATCATCGCGATGCAGTCGTATCAATGTTATCTTTGCAATGTTCAAAATGCTGCATGACGCCAGTACGAACTGGTCGACGATAATACTCAGTATGCCCCATCCTTGTTGTAACCGATACTTATGTAGATCACCATAATACTCTGCCGATGTAAGTATATGAGATTTATTTATTATAATTTTACTGCAGATAAGAATTTAGATGCAACATTTACAAAATATTGATTGTCAATTTTAAAATCAAGATATAAAATTTTTAACGAACACGAATTGATCGATCATAATACATGAAGATATTTTACTCATTTTTTATGTGTGTTATCTGGTTTTCTTTTTATGTAAATTTAATTTAAGTAAAAATTTGTAGTTATGTAAATTATTAATATAACTAATAAAGGCTCTTATGCATATATCATACGAAGAAAATAAAAGGCAATCAAGAGCCAGCGCAGTAATTTGTGCGTATATGTTTTATTACAATCAAATTACATTGATATTTTGACTATGTGATAGACAAAATTACAAAAAGCGTACGTTTCGGTCCTTTTTTGGACCATCCTCAGCGCAATTACAAAGTATATGGAATATATTATATCAAAAATGTGACAATAATAATACGCGGAACAAGAATGAGTCACCCATGTTGTCATGACAAGTCAAAATATCAATGTAATTTGATTGTAATAAAACATATACGCACAAATTACTGCGCTGGCTCTTGATTGCCTTTTATTTTCTTCGTATGATATATGCATAAGAGCCTTTACTTAGTATTTTAGGACAAAATTTTATAAATTTAAGTATTTTTAATGAGAAATGTCTTAAAAGTGGATAATGTGAAGGGAACATTATTGAAAATATCGACTATCGGCATCTAATTTGATGGTTTAAAAATTGGATTGTTTTTATGCATATGTAAGCAAACAAACTGAATTTAAAATACTGAAAATCCCAACCCAAAGCCCCAACCTAAACCCATAGTTAAACTGAGCAAAGTTTCAAATTCTTTGGCAATATTCGTTAATTTATAAAAATTTAAGTCGCCTACATCTCAATACAAAATTTCTGGAGAGAAATCGTAATCTCGTCAATTCAAACATAAATTTAAAAAAACTCAAATAAACTTGAAATTATTTGTTTTATTATATAATCAGTCTTATATAATATTATCCACTGACAACAGCGATATTTTTTTAAGGATACCTATGTTCTCGGACAATCGTTGTTTGAGCTGCTTGAAAAAGCTGAATAAGAATGATCTGCATCGTTCGCGGATTTTTTGCTCTTCGTAAACGCTAATCTTTCCGTTTTTTCTGAGCTGCTCAACTTTTTTCTCGAACGAATGTCCCAAGTACGGTTTAGGATCGAGATAATCTTCGATGGAACTTAGCAGAGGATCTACTTTACATGATGGCAATACGAGTTTTTTCGAAATTCCTTGCACGAGGATGTTGAGATCATTTAAAAGCTTTACGTGATCGTTTTTCTCGCTTTGAAATGCTTTGTTCACGACTTGTATCTCAGACAAAATCGGCTTCAGAAATAACAAGTACAACATGTTTGTTTCATCACAATACATGTTGTATAGAATTTTCATTGCATGTGACACGGCGAGTTGTAACGAGTGGCAGAGACACTTGATCAAAATTAGCGACGAAATTTCTGTTTTCAATTTTGCATAAACGCCGTTATTTATCTCGACCATAACCGAAGCATTGTCAGTTCCAATGGCCAACAAATTTTGTAAATCTAATTTCATTTCATCAAGAGTTTTCTTTAGAGCGTTGACGATACCCTCAGCATTACATGTTTCCAGTTTGGTCAATGCTAAAAAACTTGCGATCGTTTTTCCCTGTTTATCACTGTAATATATTGTAACGACACCTAATAATTTGTTTACGGACACGTCGTTCGACTCATCTAATAATAAACTGTATTTTCCATTCCCAATATCGCTGAGCAACTCGTTGTTGAAGTGAGGAGCAAGTACATCATTAGTGGTTTCTGGTGGGAAAGAACGCAGAGGAGTTTAGTGGTTTTTAGTGGGATCCACGAAGCGCTCTAGTGGGATAGCGATGATCCGAGTTGGCAACACTGAGTATGCTAAAAAGTCGTCGATTTTTATCCCGGGTCGTAAAATGGTTTCTTAGATCAGCCTCCGATCTTCGTATCAATGTACCTAAATGCTCACAAAGATTTACATAGACTTTCTAAAATACATTTGGATAAGTGCCAATTATTTTATATATTTACATAAAAAAAAACATATCTTTTGATCACTGTATAATATACACCCACAAATATAATGTTTTAATAGACTTTTTACGATTTTTACACATTTTTCACACATTTTAAGAGCAAATGAATGTTACCACGTATTTTGTACGTCCAAAAAACTATAAGAAACCATGCGATTTTTTAACATATTCCTTTAAAATTTGTTTAAAAAATTTAATAAATTATATAAAAATTTAAATTAAGTAAATTATGTAAAAATTGTAAAAAAATTTATGTTTATAAAAAAAATTAATAATACCAATATGTGTTACCACGGAGCGTTATCGATTTGTGCGCAAAAATGTGTTTGTATGTTTGTCTGTGAAGACGCTAAATTCGAAAAAAAACTTTCTTTTGTTATTGCTCTGGCTGGATTAAAAGAAATATATGTAACATTTTACTCTACATCTATTATTCCTGAATCAAATAGTTTTCTTTACAAAAGATATAAAAGTAAGGCTCTTACACGATTAAAATCAAGTAAAATCCAAGTAAAATGACAAAAGAGCTATGCGCAGTTTTTTGGGCGCAAGGATATATAATTTAAACCAAAAAATAAATTAAAAAATTAGAGAATTTCTTTAATTACATGATTCGCGAAAGGCGGACGTTTCGGCCCTTTTTTTGGCCATCATCAGCGCAAATAGTACTAAAATCAAAAATATAAACGGTATACAAAAAGAGTCTTAAACAATTAAAGCGCAAAGTTACATGATAACCAACGGTAGAAGGCGTTGATTAAGACTTTTCTGTATACCGTTTATATTGTTGAATTTAGTATTATTTGCGCTGATGATGGCCAAAAAAAGGGCCGAAACGTCCGCCTTTCGCGAATCATGTAATTAAAGAAATTCTCTAATTTTTTAATTTATTTTTTGGTTTAAATTATATATCTTTGCGCCCAAAAAACTGCGCGTGGCTCTTTTGCCATTTTACTTGGATTTTACTTAGTTTTCTTTACGATTAGGAAATTTTGTAATTTACGAAAAGATAATTTTGGATACTTTTATATATTCAATTGTCAAATTGTTAAAATTACCTGTATGATTAAGATAAGCAGGAAACGAAATTTTTCAAAATTTTTGTCACGATCCAACGGCCATGAGCCAAGTTACCACATTACCCGTCTATACAAAGAAAATCCATGAGCCATTTCTTTGTTCCATATTTTACACGA